AATCACCCAAGATACTCCAATATTTCTTTGAAAGTACTGTTCAAAATAACTGGGAAATTTGGGGAGTTGCAATTCAAGAAATTATTTTTTCCAAGCTATGCTCTGGGGCTGGCTGAGGACATCCACTAGTTTAGATATTGTGTATGTTAAACAAAGAATAAGAACAACCCAGTTGCAGATACTCCACTTTAAATTATCCAATAATACAAATTATCCTACTTAAAGGAAACTTGGCTGGAGTTTCTGTACACATCATCTTGGAAGTAAAGCCCCTGGAGCTCACATCTAGGTAAAAACCCACAGGAATACATGTGGTGATGAGGAGAGGAAAAGGAAAGAGGAAAGAACAAAGATGCAATCTATGCAAATACAAACCTTTTAGCACACAGCCAGATTCTAATCATTTCCTCACTCACTCACTCATTCATTCATTGCAATATTATAAGCAAATGTGTCAATGGCACATGGTAAGTGAGCAATATGCTTGGCCTGCCAGACACATTGGCAACATACACTGCCGGTGGTGGGGAAGGACCACTTGTAAAGGGACAGTTAGCCACAGATATGTGCTCTAACACAGTCAGTCCTGTTTTTAAAGTCTCCCTTTAAAATACCACAGGACAGAGAGTAGGAGGGATCAGTGCTTCTTTTAGGTTCTCCCAGAATGAACTACGCTCTTGCCTTTCACTGCTTTACTCAGGCCCCTTCCACACAACTGAATAAAATTCCACATTATCTGCTTTGAAATGGGATATATGGCAGTGTGGTCTCAGATATTCCAGTTCAAAGCAGATATTGTGAGTTATTCTGCCTTGATATTCTGGGGGCCCTCCCACACAGCCCTATATCCCAGAATATCAAGGCACTAAATCCCATAATATCTGCTTTGAACTGGGTTATCTGAGTCCACACTCAGATCATGTGGGATTTTCCGCCTTGATGATATAGTGCTGTGCAGAAGAGCCTTGGCGAATGGGGTGGTTTCTTTGTTGATAAAAGTTAAAATATAGTATTCACATTGATCCATGGATAAGTTGACCCAGGTTTCTTTTTTGGGTGGAGGGCTATTTTTTTGAATAAAACTCCTAGATTTATACATTATTATGTAGAGTACCCGAATTACTTGGAAATTCTTTAAGTTGTCATCCAAAAACAGCGATCTATCCAAGCTCAGCTTTATAAAGAAAAGCTTTAATGACATACGTCAGAGAGAAGGCAGTAGTAGAGTGATACAAACAGGAACAGAATATCATCCTATCTCGGTTCACTTATGGAACACTTCACCCAAGTCATTATCTTCATTCTGCTGGATAGAAACTTTCCAAGCTCAATATGGAATGTAATTGTTCTTCCTCTCCTCATCCAATAATAATACACATGGAAGATGCAAATAGTTATTTTTGGCTTATTGCTATGTTTCATGATCTTGTGCTCATCTACACCAAGAATCTCCAGAGTCTCCGTCTATGGAGTTTTCTAAGCAGAGGCTGGATGGCCCTCTGACAAGAGTGTTTTAATTGTGTGATCCTGCATGATAGGGGGTTAGACCAGAGGGCCTGTGTGGTCTCTCTCAATTCTAGGATTCTATTATGAATCCTTCCTTCATCTAAAACCATATAAACATACAATGGGACTTTCTCCAAAGCAAGTGCAGCCTCTTCGGGCTCTTCCACACAGCCATATAACCCAGATATAATCAAGGCAGATAATCCACAATATCTGCTTTGAACCGAGGGTCCTTCCACACAGCCTGATATCCCAGAATTGCAAGGCAGAAAAACCCACAATATCTGCTTTGAACTGGGCTATCTGAGTACATGCTCAAATACTGTGGAATTTTCTGCCTTAATATTCTGTGATACAGGGTGGCATGGAAGGGCCCTGAGTTATCTGAGTCCACACTGCCTTGTAGCCCAGTTCAAAGAAGGTAATGTGGGATTTTATGCAGCTGTGTGGAAGGGGCGTTTGCCTTAAGGCAGTGGTTCTCAACCTGGGGTCCCCAGATGTTTTTGGCCTACAACTCCCAGAAATACCAACCAGTTTATCAGTGGTTAGGATTTCTGGGAATTGAAGGCCAAAAACATCTGGGGGCCCCAGGCTGAGAACCACTGCCTTAAGGCCTTCTTTCTCAAGGATAAGGATGGTCTCCCCCAAGATGTTTTTGTCTAATGAAGCATTCCTAGGATCACTGTCATTTAGCCCCTGGGAAATGTAACTCACCATATTGATTGGTCTATTTTCTTGGTATATGGAAGGTTAAACCTACAACCCCACAAGTAGGCATTTATGAATGGCCAAAAGAAAAGTTTCATAATCTGCATTAAGAAATCTGAAAGCTTCTACGCTACTTGGTGACCTTTCAGTTGCTGTAATCACACACACAAAACAACCACCAAAAAGTCCCATCTTATCCCCACCACAGATTTTACAACTGACCAAGAAGTTCCCTTCCCAGATATGCTTGCACTAAAGGGGTTAACTAGCTTGCTATTGTCCCAACCTTGTTTGTAAATGGTGATGGTAACTGTGAGACCTTCATTTATGGTAAATCTCAGGTAATTGTCACAGTCTGTGTTCTTTGATTTTTACATTTCTGACAAGCAGCACAATTTCTCCCCCACTCCTCAAATGAACACAACCCTATCTATACTTGCTAAGTGAGGATAATATTTCCCATGGCTAATGAAGCCCCTTCTGAACTGATGGTAAAACACACCTGAAGAGGTTCCATAAAATCAACTGGTTGTATTTACGTCTAAGGGCCTTTCCACACAGCCATATAACCCAGAACATCAAGGCAGAAAACCCCACAATATCTGCTTTGAACTGGTTTATCTGAGTCCACACTGCCCTATATTCCAGTTCAGAGCAGAAAATGAGGAAATTTATTCAGCTGTTTTGGTTGCAATCTTTGGTCCTCCTGGGTTTAGGACTTAAATTCACAGAAGACCCAACCATCTTGGCCAACTGCTAGGAATTCTGGGAGCTGAAGTCCCAAACACAAGTAGGATAATGGGTTATCTGTTCATCTGCTCTACCAGATGAACAAAGAAAGAGTACTTCAAAGGGTAGGAGCCCCTGGTGGCACAATGGATTAAACCCTTGTGCCAGCAAGACTCCTGACTGACAGGTCAGTGGTTGGAATCTGGGGAGAGTGGGTTGAGCTTCCTCTGTTAGCTCCAGCTACCCATGCAGAGACATGAGAGAAACCTCTCACAAGGATGGTAAAACATTAAACATCTGGGCATCCCCTGGCCAATGTCCTTGCAGACAGCCAATTCTCTCACACCAGAAGCGACTTGCAGTTTCTCAAGTCACTCCTGACATGGAAAAAAAACTTCAAAGGGTGCATCTACACAGTTGAAATGCTACAGTTTGGCACTGCTTTCACTGACATGGCTCAATGCTATGGAATCCTGAGAGTTATAGTTCTACAAGGTCATTAGCTTTCTCTGACAAAGAGCTCTGGTGTCGCACCAAACAATTCCCAGGATTCTATAGTATTGAGCCATGGCAGGTGAAGTGATGTCCAACTGCATTAGTTTGGCAGTATAATGCACCTAAAGAAAAGTTTGTCTTAATGTTTCTGAAACCCAGGGCCCTTCTACACATCCATATAACCCAGAATATCAAGGCAGACAATCCACAATATCTGCTTTGAACTGGGTTATCTGAGTCCACGCTGCCATATATTTCAGTTCAAAGCAGAAAATGTGGGATTTTATTCAGCTGTGTGGAAGGGGCCTGGGTTTCCACCATTCTCTCCATCCATACCACCCTTTTCTACTCTTTCCTTTCCTTGGGCCCTTCCACACAGCCCTATATGCCAGAATATCAAGGCAGAAATCCCACAATATCTGCTTTGAACTGGGTTATCTGAGTCCACACTCCCATATATTCCAGTTCAAAGCAGAAAATGTGGGATTTTATTCAGCTGTGTGGAAGGGGCCTCACTCCCATCTCCCAGCCATAGTATAGGCGTCTAAAGGAAAGGGACAGGCAACATTACCAAGGGAACGTGAACAACACAAATGCTGCATTAGATATCTGGGTGCCCTTCCGCACAGCCCTATATTCCAGAATATCAGGGCAGAAAATCCCACATTATCTGAGTATGGATTCAGATAATCCAGTTCCAAGCAGATATTGTGGGATTTTCTGCCTTGATATTCCGGGATATGGGGTTGTGTGGAAGGGCCGGAAAGGGACCCAGAATATCAAGGCAGAAAATCCCACAGTATCTGCTTTAAACTGCGTTATCTGAGTCCACATTGCCATATAATCCAGTTGAATGTGGATTTTACTCATCTGTGTAGAAGGGGGCCCCAGCCTCCTCTTCTGACAGAAACACGAGTCTCGGGATAGGGCGAAGTGTGGAAATCCTTCTTTTAAAACGAGAGCGTCATCCTTTGAGAGTGAAAAAAAGAGGCTAGGGTGAAACCTCGCTTGGGCTGGAGGTGAGGCAAAGGCTGGGAAATGTGTTCTCGGGCCAGAAGAGGAAGAGAATGCATCACAATGTATTTGTGGCAACAACCAACGCAAGTGACGCTGAGCCTGGAGGGAGGCTCTCACCAAACAACAGCGAAACCTGCCCGTTTCAGGGGCGCCTTGACACTGGAGACAGGAATGCAGTTTGCTTTTGAATCGTGGCAATTGCGGCTCAATAAGGTGTTGAGCCTTCCCTGCTAAGGAGTGCCCTTGCCTCACCAGTTACAACTCTCAGGACTCCAGGGAAAAGGGGCTGGGACGGCATCCATTCCACCGCAGGAGAGGAAGGCGCGCCTCGGAAAGCCTGTCGCGTCCGACAAGCGGAGACATCTAAACCAACCCAACAACTGTCCAACTCCAAGAGCAAAGTCCATTGAAGGAGCGCCCCCGCTAATCGAGCGAGTTCATAAAAAGGAAAGAAAGAGGGAAGTTCAGCCTGGCTGCCGACAACTCGCAAGCCCTTGTCAAGGAGGAGGGAAGGGGGATGCCCGCCAAGGAGGAGAGGACCTTACCTGCAGCAAGCCTTGTGGCGAGGAAGAGATGGAGAAGAAGAAGGAGAGCGAGGAGGCGCAGCTGGCCCCTCCTTCCTTCCTTCCTCCCTTCTCTCCGCCTCTCCTTCCTCTTCATCCCAGGCAGGGGGACTCAGAGCTTCTCCTTTGAAGGCATAGCTGCTCCGTCCTCCAAGGAGAGAAGGAAGGAAAGAAAGGAGAAGGGAAGAGAGGGGAGTGAAAGGAAAGAAGGGGGAGAGGAAAAAGGGGAGGAGAAGGGAAAGGCAAGGAAAGGAGAGAAGGGAAGGTGGGAAGGTGGGAAGGGAAGGGGAGAGGAGAGGAGAGGGTAAGGCCCCATCCACAATCCAGATTTGCAAACTTGGCATTCTATGAAATGTCCTTTGAGCATTAGCTGGCCACTTGTAGTGCCTTTGGTGTTGCTATAAGAACAGTGTTTCTCAACTTGGGGATCGGGGAGGGGGTCGTGAGGGGGTGTCAGAGGGGTCACTAAAGACCATCAGAAAACACAGTCTTTTCTGTTGGTCATGGGGGTTCTGTGTAGGAAGTTTGGCTTAGTTGTATAATTGGAGGGGTTCAGAATGCTCTTTGATTGTAGGTGAACTATACATCTCAGCAACTACAACTCCCAAATGTTGAGATCTATTTCCCCTAAACTCCACCAGTGTTCACATTTGGGCATATTGATTATTTGTGCCAAGTTTGGTCCAGATCCATCATTGTTTGAGTCTACAGTGCTCTCTGGATGTAGGTGAACTACAACTCCAAAACTCAAGGTCAATGCCCACCAAATCCTTCCAGTATTTCTCTTGGTCATGGGCAGAGGCGGCCCTAGGTAATTTTCAACGGTAAGCAAACAGTATTTTGGCACACACACACCCCCAACCAATCACTGATATATATTTTCTGTTAGTCATGGGAGTTCTGTGTGCCATATTTTGCTCAATTCCATTATTCGTGGAGTTCAGAATGCTCTTTGATTGTAGGTGAACTATATATCCCAGTAACTACAAATCGCATATGTCAAGGTCTATTTTCCCCCAAGAGCACCTCAAGAGTACCCCTGGGCAAAATCAACTATACTGCAAATGCTTACTTTGCGTAATGGATTGAGCCGCCCCTGGTCATGGGAGTTCTGTGTGTCAAGATTGGTTCAATTCCATCATTGGTGGAGTTCAGAATTCTCTTTGATAATAGATGAACTATAAATCCCAGCAACTACAACTCCCAAATGACAAAATCAATCACTCAAACCCACCAGTATTCACCAGAGCCTCCGGTGGTGCAGTAGGTTAAGCCCTTGTGCCGATGGGGGACTGTGCATGGCTGGCTAAGAGGAAGCAGCTTTGTTCCTGTCTCTTCGGAGATACAAAAGAAAATAAAACTCCAGAGCCTGAGATAAGTACTAATTTAATAGTCAATTTAAAGATAACTCTACATAAGAGGCCCCCACAGCTGACAAACTTTCTCTTTACAGGGGAGATAAACTTTATCAAGTAAGAATAAAACCGGGAAGCCAGCCAGAAATGGCGTCCAAACGGGAGCTGCAAAAGATTCAACAAATGATTGCAGAACTATCTGAGTCCATGAATCCAAAAGTTGACATGCTATTGAAACAAATAAAGACAATATAACAAGATAATAAAATAATTAAAAAACCCTCAAACAAACTGAGAAATAATCGCAGCAATATCAGGAAAAAATTGCAGCTTTAAGGCTTAAAGTGGCTAAGCTATCAGACAGACAAAGAAGAAAGAATTTAAGATTATCAGGCTTCCCAGAGCAGATAATCTAGAAACAGAATTAATATTATGGCTTCAAGGGTTAAGCTTGGAAATAATGCAAACACAAATTGAAAGAGCATACAGAGCCTTTCGCTAAACAAGAGGGGAAGGCGTACGAGATATCATAATGGGTTTCACCACAGAACGTAAAAAAAGATAAAGTGTTTAGACATCTTAAAAGAAACAGACTTATTATACAATGGGAAAAACTAATCCCAAAACACGACTTGTCTCCTGAATCTTTGAAGATGAAAGCTCTTCTAAAAATATATGCAGATAGACTGACTGCTCATGGAATAAAGTTTTCCTGGGTGCTTCCAATTGCTATTCTGGTTTATAAAGACAAGAAAAAATACATTGCAAGAACTCCTGAATGCTGGAAAAAATGGATATTCTTCTAACACCAGAAACAGAAAACCCTATGGAGAAAGAAGGAGAAGTAAGTGAGCTGGAGGAAGGAGATGAAAATGAAGATTAGACTGATACAGAGGGAGAACTACCAACCAGATTAACAAGATCATCAAAATGAACAAGGACTACAACATCATTTGCCTTGTAATTAAGTATTATCTGAGATTAGTTGGGGGAAAGTAGGGGGAAAGTAGCTGTTTTCTTTCTTCTCCTCCAGGACCCCCAACTGTTGTTTTTGGAGCCTCTTTGGAATATGGCTGTAGGGTTGAAGGGACGATATGATCATGTATAAGGAAACTAGTATGTATGGAGGGAAGGGGCTCGAAGGTGGGGTCATACAAAGGGCAAAAACAATGAAGAAATTGGATGGCTTGGAATAATAAATAAATAAATAGTAGAGGGAACAGGGGGCACAGTGCTGCAAGAAATCTCAAATGAAAGGAAAGATACATTTCCTTAAAAATCATTTGAGAAAGGGAAGGGGTAACCACAGTAATAAGGGAAGAGAAAATAGCAGATGAAGAGCCACAAAAAGACAAAGATAATGGGTGTTTTTTTAAATGCAAATGGAATGGCTTCAGATCTCAAGCGGTCAAGAATAGTACAGTTCGTAAAGAAATCGCATTGCAACGTGCTCTGTTTACAGGAAACACACAAACACAAAAAAGATAATAAACAATTAATAAATATACCAGGTTGGAGGGTGATAGCAGAAGCAAAGGGTACAAATAAAGATAGAGCAGTAGCGATAGAAATGGAAAACTCATTAAAATTGGAAATACTAGAAACAATAGTAGATAAGGAATGGAGATATATAGTGCTAATATGTAAAATAAATGGCGGGATATATGCAATAGGAAATGTATATGGCCCAAATAAAGGATGGAATAAATACTTTAGAAAGTGGTTTAGAAGAGTATAATTTATCAAGGGGAGCTAACAGTTGGCTTTAATATGGACCTTAGAAAACATAAAAATCTTTTAAAAGAATGGAGATTGGAGGATGTATTTGAAGCAAACTCTATAAACCAAAAGTCAACATATTTCTCACATAGTCATAAATGTTTTACATGGATAGATTACATATTAATAAAAAACGCTAACAGGTCTAGAATTCTAAACAGGGAAACATAACCAATCTGGATTTCAGACCATGCGCCTATTATAGTGGAGTTAAAGATAGAGGAGCCAGAGGAAACAAACATAATAAAATCCTGGCGATATAAAATTTTTATAATTAAGACAGAAAAACATAAGAAAGAATTATTAGAGGAGATAAAAATTACTTCAAAGAGAATAGGGGCTCAGAAAATATAGAAACAGTCTGGGATACAGCAAAAGCAGTAACTAGGGGTTATTGCATAGCAAAAGAAGTGGCAATAAACAGCAAGATAAAGAAAGGAAAAGAATGTTTAAAGCAAAAACTATGGGCATATAAAATATCAGGAAAATCTCCAATAAGAGCATGAGACTCCCCAAAAGATTAGCAAATAATTTAGACACAGGGATTAAGGAGAGTAAAAGATATGTGGAAACAAGATGGAGAGATAATTAACTGGCCAGAGTTTTTGGAAAAGGGGGGGGGGAGAGAATTAGTTGAAATTAAGAGGAATTTGGGAAAAGGTAAAAAAGAGGCTGCACAGCCCACTGAAGAATTAAAGGTAGATAAATTGCTAAATGCAAGAGAAAAAACAAGTAAAGGAACAGTGGCGAAAATATACAATTTAATGGTAGAAGATAAGGAGTTTATGATTAGAACAATACGTAACAAATGGAATGGGGTGAAATCATTAAGGACACAAGAAATAGAGGAAATAATTAGGAACATGAATAAAATAAAAACAGAAAATATAATGAATTAGAATAAAATGATATTAAGATGGTATAGAACCCCTGAACAACTGGCTTATATGGTAAAAGGGATGAATTCAGTGTTGGCACTGTAATAAAGAAAAAGGTACTTATTCACATATGTGGTGGGAGTGTTCTGAAATAAAACAATTCTGGCAAATGATACAAGCAAAAATTCAGGAGATATTGCAGATAAAAATTCAAATTAATAATGATTTGCAACTATGGGGAGTGTTGGATCACCCGAATATAACAATCAATTACCAGGAGTTATTTAAAGTAACAATAAGAGCAGCATATGCGGTGATTGCTAGAGGGTGGAAAGACAAATTGAAATGGACATTAAATAATTGGAATGATTATATGTATGATCAAGTGTTGTTAGATATTATGTCAATTATGACTAAGCAAGCAACAAGAATGGACAAACAAAATGACATTACAAATAGATGGAAGGTCTACTTCAACTGGGTGAAAAATGGGGGAGTCAACGATTACATCAAAGAAAAATACAAAGACTTTACCAGTGGCTGGATATGCAAGATTAGTAGAATATACTGTGGTTGAGGAGGGAGGGAGAGGAAGGGAGGGAAAATTACAATTTACATCAGTGTAAACTAGCACAATGCCATTAATATTTGTTGAATCACTTGGAATTTATGCTTGTAATACTTGGAATATGGTTTGCCGATTTGTGTTTATACCATTATATATATATATATATATATATATATATATATATATATATATCCCTTCTGCCAGCAGGACTGGTGACCGACAGGTCAGCGGTTTGAATTTGGGGAGAGTGGGTTGAGCTCCCTCTGTCAGCTCCAGCTCCCCATACATGGACATGAGGGAAGTCACCCACAAGGATGGTAAAACATCAAAACATCCAGGCATCCCCTGAGCAACGTCCTTGCAGATGACAAATTCTCTCACACCAGAAGCAACTTGCAGTTTCTCAAGTCGCTCCTGACATGAAAAAAAAGAAACCAAAATATCCCTCCCCAGAGACATCAGATTGGCCACCTCCCTCCTGTCCTTCAGAAGGAAACTCAAAACTTGGTTGTGGGACCTTGCATTTGACCATTGAATAGCAGTTAGTGAAAAGAAGACATAAGCCATTCCAAGTAACAGTTAATTGCCCTAGACTCTGATTTTAACT